TGTTCCTTCCAACAATGCAATACAGCATTCCTGTTTGAGTAAAGGTCGAAAATTGATTCATTTCCCCACACTAACCCCATCTAAAAATTATTTCTTTTTCATTTTATGATTGTTTTGAATCTATGTGTTCTTTTTCGTTGTCGACCGTAATAGCAATACTTGGTCTATCAAATTGTTGCCCGTTTCATTACACTGTGTTCTTATTTATCCTGACTCACATTCTAAAATTATTCTAAGTACTTTATTGTAGCGGACCCCCTGGAGAAAATATGAAGAAGATATGAAAACGGCCCGAGCGCCCCGTATCGGTGTGAGGTCCCAAGAGGCCCGCTTACTAGATAATTGATCGTATTCAATTAGAAAGAACAGGTAAGTATCTATATTTACAGTGTGCCAAAGGTGGTCGCTAAACGTTAAACATGCCTCGTTTGTATTGTGTCGCCATATTGTCCATCCCAGTCAGATCATGTCGGGGTCACCAATTTGTCGAGAAACAACAGGCCGAGCGCCCCCGTATGGTAGATGAGGTCACAAGAGGCCCGCTAACGTTTTTCGAATTAAAGACGTGAAATCTGACAAGGTGAAACAAAATGGACAACAGAATGAGGATATGTATTATTAATCTTCAACCCCTATTTACCCTGACTCGTTTTATTTCAGTCCAAAATCTTACATCCGAAGCTTTTTGTGACCATTCCCTAAATTCATTGAAAAAAAATAAAATAAAATAAAATAATAATAATAATCGCATTATAGACCAAGGGAAATAACTCTTCCATATTTTTTTAGTCGTTACTTCCCTTGCATTAATTTTTTTTTCTATTGTTTGTAATTTATGTTATCAACATTTTTTTTTATAGTGATGATTAACCTTTTATTTTCCATGCGTCGGGAAGGGACAGGGGCGGGAGGAGGGCGGTGACAATGGAGGAAGAGGGGGTTAACGCATGCTAATTCAGATGGAGTAAAGAATTTTGTTTTCATTGAATTTTGTAAAATATTTATATATTGAGAATTTTTAGACATTTTTACATTAAATCATTAAATTAAAAAGAGTATTATTATTTTTCTTAATGATACTTTTGAGTTTGTTTTGATTCTGGCAAACTTTTAATGCTTGGAGTTAAATTATTGAGAACACCAGAAAATTCTCTCAATCACGATCTAAGTGAAAATGTTTTTCTGGCATTCTTCCAGCCATTAGATGATGATACCCCACTAAACCATTTCAAACTTCCAACTTTCCATAGAATAGCAGGATGTATACAAAGAAACTATCTACCACATAGAAACCACATTGGTTTTTGATAACGACTGCAACAGTTGAAAATACTTGAACAAAAATAAAAAAAAAAATTGAACTTTGGATGAAGCTAGGTCCGTGACTTTGGACATCTCAAAAGTGTTTGACAGGATTTGACATATCAGTCTTCTTCACATGTTGAAAAGTTATGGTATCTCCAGATGAATTTTCAGACCGATTCAGTCTTTATCATATTGTGAAATGAAAATTATCCTAAACGCCACTCTTCCCGATCTTCTTGTACTAATGCGGGTGTCTCCCAGGGTTCTATCCTGGGTCCTATTTTGTTTTTAATTTTCATTAACAAACTTCCTGATGACATATATCAACTTGGTATCTATGCTGATGATACAACCATTTACACCTGTCTCAATACCAAGTCTGATCAGTTCGATATGGTCAAATTAGCAGATGATCTCAAAAAACGACCTGCACTCTGTTGTTAACTGGAGCAAAGAATGGCTTGTTTATCTTAACACCTCCAAAACTAAACAACTCCCTATTATTCATCTGAGAGGACCCTTTCTGCCTTCCATCCACATAGTTGATGCTAACCTCCAGGAAAGTGACTTGTTGTGTCTTCTCAGCTTAACATTCTCAGGTGAAACAAAGTGGAAAGATTATATTGAATCCATTGCTATGTCAGCTGCTAAGAAGGTTGGTTCACTGCATCATGCTAGACCATTTTACAACCAGACTATCTTTACATAAGACTACCATTCATCCATGCTTAGAATATTGTTGCCAGATATGGTCTGGTACCCGAGCTTTATGTTATAAAATCCAAAGAATCAACAATATTATTGGTCCTGACCTGGCATATCGGCTAGTCACTTTCCCACCGCCATAAACTTGTTTCCATGTCTTTTCTATAAATACTTTCATGATTGTTCAAACAAGCTCTTCACTGTGGTACCTACACATAGATGAATTTTAGTGCACTATCAACAAGGTCTCATCAATTTACATTTGAAGTGATTAGATGTAACTGTAGATACTATAAGTTTCTTTTCACACACTTCTCACTTGTGGAACTCCCTTCCAACTCCATGCTCTCTATCAAACTTTGATCTTCAAAAATTTAAATGCAATGCCAATTGTTATCTACGGTCTTCCTGATTACTCTTCTATTGTTCTCACTGCTTAATAATGTTTGTTTTCTAAATCTTTCCCACCCAGTAACCCCTTTGAGTCATAGTGGCTTTACTGCCTTGCTTGGGGTAAATTAGATTTTTAAAAAAGAAAAAGAAAAAAAGAGAAAGTTTATCCATAACCTTGAGTGCAATACTCAACACATTTGAAAATTGTAAAAATATAATAAAATATTAAACAGACAGGCAGTCAGTTGTTTTGGTGCCATACATGACATCCATATGAAAGTCTTGATCTGATGAGATCATATATATATATATATATATATATATATATATATATATATATATATATATATACACACTCTTAAGGTGTGCTATATTTATGGGATAAAGTGCTCAGTATCAGAGATAGAGCGTGTGTAAATATGAAAGTGAACATTGAAGTCAACAGGCTGTTTCATGTTAATTCCAATCGTCAGGCCTGACAATTGAATCTAGCATGAAACAGCCTGTCACCTCTAAATGTTGACTTCCATGTTCACTTTATATATATATATATATATATATATATATACGCACACACATCAGTCAGTCATGTGCCATACGTGATACATGCTTAGGCAATCATGTATCTTTCAATACATGACTGATGAGACAGATTTTTTCATGCAGTAGGTTGCTATCCAAAGCTATAGAATCCTGTCTGTCCTGCTATTTACCCATAGCTGAGTGGAGAAGAAGAGGATTCATACCTTTCCCCAGAGTATTAGCACATAAGCGAATGTAATGGATTCGAATGGAATTTGAACTCAGCTCTCTGATTCCTCAATCCAAGCCGCTATTTATTACTTCATCATGCCTCCTTATATACATACGTTAAATTCTAGTAATTTGTATGTATTTTGATAGGTATCTTTGAGTTAGGTATCTTTATATATCAAAATAGATACAAATTACTAGAACTTAATGTATTTTAAAGCCAGCAGAATTTTGCCAAATACTGCTCGAAAGGTAACAAGTGACAATATTCAAAAAGGTCAATAAATGTTCAGTGGACTTCTAGGCAGCATGTCCATTGAATATTTATTGCCATTTTTTAACATAAAACTAAGAGTAGCCAGTTTTCTCTTCCTAAGGGAAGTTGTAAACAAAAAAATATTTCAATCAACACATCTTGAAAATTAACTGTCGCAACAGTAGATGTCCAGAGATCACATTACTCAAAGGTTTGCAATTAAAAAACGCTGTCATCATCAATACGTTTAATCCCAGCATAATTTAAGCAATCCATTCTTCAGTTATACAATTGCGACAATTCAGAATAAAACCGCAACTCCTAAGGAGATTTAATCTTGCATCGCATACTTTGGGTGCTTATGCTTCATGAACAATGCCTTACACAAATTAGTCAGCAGAAGTGAATTCAAAGACTTTATATTTTGAATTTCTATACAATAAATGAAAGAGATTAAGTGTGTGGGGGCTTTCTTGTTTGCAATCCATCAGTGCTATGTGGGTGGTGAAGATGAACTTTGGACAAGAAAGCAAGCAATGATTTATTTGGGTCAGTGCAATAATCACAATAATTACTGAAATAACAAATTTTTTACTTTCAAACCAGTCTTTTATTTAAAAACAAATCAATGTGAGATGTATTTATTTACAGATCTTAGAACGATGCATTATTATGTCAAGGATGAGTAATGAATGAAAAAGTTTTAGATTTGTGTCAAGGAAAGTGTAAAAACTAACAGAAGGGAGAAGTGAATTTTGGCAGGCTAAATTTTAAGGAAAAAAACTACAGAGAAAAAAAATGAGATCTTTAAGCAAAAAGGAGAAACTTAAAAACCAAAATAATAAATAAATAAAATTTCTATAATTAAAAATTATAAATAAAAAAATATATTTTTCCATAATTATTGCTATTTTTTTTTAAATATTAATTCTATGTGGTTGCAAGTGTATGCTTTTAAAGAATTACTTCCAGGTTTTTCACCAAAACTTTTAAACTGTCTTGAGCAATCTAAAATTTATTATATATATATATATATATATATATAAAAATAGGAAAATAACTGTTTAAAATACTAACTACTAATTTTGATAAATAATCCCAGTTTTTTATTACATAATAATACTGGTGGGACAATTTTATTCCACCTGCAAAGAAAAAACTTCATTTAGATTTAAAACTGTATTAGATTTAATGACCTATGCTTATGATGAACTCCTGAAATCCTCAATATGCAAAAAATTACTAAAGAATTTCTGTGCTCAAATCAAGACTATATTTTAGATTGGTTTCTTCATATAAAGACTTCAATTTCTCCTGGATTAATTTTCAGTTGGGGACAATATTAACAGAGGCAAAAAAAAAAAAAAAAAAAATTCAAAAAGTAGTTTAATAATAATAATCATTTGCTGGGCTTCATTTCTGTTAATGTACTCTCACTTTTTCTCTCTCTCTCCTGCAAACAAAACCTGCATAATAACCATTCGTACAGTCACCTTAGAATTTAGCCTTTCCTATAATGCCTAATCCCTGATAGTAAATCACTTGAAGAAAAAAAGATCCAGTGACAATTGCAGTGAAAATCCATTTTTTAGTCAACATCACTGCCACTCTCTTCATTGCTGCTGGGTTCCTCCTCTTCAGCTTTGGCAACGCTTATAGAGAATTTGTATTCTTGATCGCAACCCATATATGCATCACTCATAAAGTACAGGACATAGTTGTGGTGACCAATGCTAGGGGCCACAAAATCCAATTTCACTTTCGCTTTCTGTTGCAGTGTCAGGCGCTTGATAGAAAGCAAAGAATTCGTTTTGGAGTCGCCAATCACCACCCACCAACCTTCTTCACGTTTCTGAAAAAGCAAAGATAAATACACGTCAGCATTCTAGGTACAGAAGTGAAAATTAAACAAAATAAAAAAGACCAGACTATGATTAATAGGTTCACTTATTTCAAATTTAGCATTTCTTTAACTTAACTTGATATATGGGTTAGACTATTAACTAACCAGAATCAATTCTTGGCAAACATGGAGAAACATGCCTGCAATAAGATATTTTTAACCATTTTCACTCTTTTGCAATGTTTATAGTTTTAAAAAGTGATGATTAGAATTGGAATAAAACCTAAACATATGAAGGTTAATTTATAGATTTTTTTTGTTCTTTAGAATTGACAACATAATTTATTTATACTATATATTTTTTATATTGTTTATTGGAATTATTGGCAAAACATTGGCTAATTGCCAACTGAATCAAACTTTATAAAATTGTAAACAATAAGGATTTTCTTATAGTTGGTTCACATATTTTAATAATTTAGTAAATGTTTATAAATGTATGAATAAAAAATTGTTTTCATATTTATTTCTTTATAAATTGGTAAATGATAAATATTATATTGAATTAGTTCTAATTGTATTAGTTTTTAGAATCTTGTAAATATAAAATCATCCTTGTAAATAATCTAATTGTGTTTAATATATTTTTTTTTTTTTAACAGCAAACAACCCTTGTCTTATTGTAATTCATGACACCTTCCCATGACTCTTGCATGGATCTGGAGATGAAGTAAATAACAACAGAGAAAGCAAACAGAAGCCATGCCATATTTTGGTGTAAAAAAATCCATTCAACTGACCTGTGGAAAGAAAGGTGCAATGACTGGTCCTGTTATTTCATCCTCTCTCTCTAGAGTGACCAAGACATTCACAGTAGACCCACTGAAAAAAGAACAAATGATTGAACATTAATAACTCAACAAAATGGTTCTTTCCCATAAAACTTATGAATTCATTTGTCTTAAGTGAATTCCAGCCTCTTATCAAGAATGCATAGAATACATACACACACACACATGAATACATCAGATACACATATGTAGAAGATAATAAGTAGAAGACAATTTTATAGAGATAAGAAATGAGCTAAAACAAAAAACCTTGATCTTGAGTCCAAAAACAATTATCAATGCATTCAAAAGTTAAGTTCTAGCTTAAAAGTTTCATCATTTAAAAAAAGGTTGGATTAGAAACTATCTAAAATGGGTTTGAGGTCCTAAAAATATTATTCCTGAAGAAAAAAAAAAAATATATCAAAAAACCTTCATTACTTGCAGCATTATCAGAGTCTAAGGCTTCACAATCTATTATAGCCAAAGAAATCAAATTTTAATAGATTTTTGTAAATTAAATCTGAATCATTAAAAGTAACACAAAATATTTTAAAAATTTAGTTATTTTTAAACTTAAATTACTTAGTTCAATTTATTGTTCATTAATTTCTAATATCTGATACTATTAGATATTATAGTGCGAATCTATAACTGAAGGAGCTATATGCCACTTTTTATTTCTAGTTAAAATATAAATGAAAAGACTGTGTATTCAACTTGCCTCTTGATGGTGTCTTTGTCTTGCACCTCAAACGTCAATTCAATGTTGGGGTAACGGTTACAGAACCGAGCCACATCGGCCATTTCTGCATCATTCAACTGCAGCAGGGAATTACGTTCATCATCTTCCATTTCCATAATATCAAATATGGTATCATGGTTCTTGAAAAAGGAAAAAAATAACAAAATCAAGACAATTTCAACAAGAGACAATAAACAGACTATAATACAATTAAAGTCACAGACAAGCCCAAGTTTTCAAAATACAATCTAATGGAAATGAACATTGCTTCAATAATGGATCAGAAGAAAATTTTAAATTAACCCCTTAAAAATTGCTTCAATCTATATCCTTATATTCTATCATAAAAAGAATTACTTTGTTGCAATGACTGGAATATATATATATATATATATATATATTCTCGACTCTCCCGTTGAATTTGACGTATGAGGGTCAAACAGATCAGTTTCCAGGAAACTGACAGCCCGACAACAGCACATGAGATTTGATTATAGTGGTGAAGGTTTCATGCAGGACCATCCACACTATTTGAAGGGCCGAATTCAGAGACCTGGTGCACTACGTGCCACAAGGTCCCCAAATGACCCTCCGCAGGTTTTGAATTCAGAGTTTTCCTTCTCCTAGAGCAGTTGCCATCCAAGGCTATAGAACACAGTCTGTCCTGCTATTTACCCATAGCTGGAGGGGGAAGAGGAGGATTCACATCTTTCTCAAGGGTATTAGCACTTAAGTGAATGTAATGGATTCGACTGGAATTCGAACAGTTCTCTGATTCCTCAATCCAAGCCAATATCCATTACGCCACCATGCCTCCTATATTTGTGCATTTAGGCAGCAATCCTTCTTTCATACACATTTCATTGAAAACGACAGACAAGGTACTTTGATTTAGTTTTTTATACAATTTCTCATGCAATCTAATAATTTTTTTCTTTTCGGATGATAAATTATATAAAAACTGTCCAAATGTTCTTTTTATCCGAGCACTTTTGGCTATACATTTAGCCATTTTCAAGGATTATATTTTAACTTTTAAAATAAGAAATAGTTTGTTGTATGTATATTTTATAAAATGTTTTCATTTTTTCAAAACACGGTCAAGATATTGTGTCCATGTTCAAAGTTAATATTATTAAGTGTTGTTTGTTTGTCTTTATTAATAAGGCTTCCATTATTTTTAGCCTTTTTTACATGTAGCTGATGCTATTATATTAGTGTTGTCAACAAGTACGTTACGAATAGTGTCCAGTAGGTCTCCATGAATATTTAAATGTGATCTAATTGAGCTATTGTCAGAAAGGTGTAGAGTGAGTCTGCATGTCAAATATGTTGTAGTGTGACCTATATAATTATTTACGAATTTTGGTTGATCAGGAATACAATTAATTAATGGGCATTTAAATTCGTAAATAATATTTGCCCTATTTAATTTTGTTCTAGGAGGTGAATTATTATTTTTAACTATAAGGTTAGAGGTTTTAAATTTTTTGTAATAAATAATTAATCTAAGTTTTTTGCTATTGTCAACTGGTGTTATGCATTTTTATATAAATGTTCTTAATCCTGCATTCATCCTGTTTATAATTTTGGAAAAAACAATACAGTTCAAAAGTTTGAGGCTACCCTTGGTAATTTTTTAGAAATGCCCCAAAAGTAGTTGTTTTATATTTTAAATAAGAGAAAATTATTATACATGGTTAAAAAAAAATGTGAAACATTTTTTTATTAGAAATTTCATTATGACAAAAAGACAAAAAAGCATTTTATGATTAAATTTTGTTCTCATCAAAATATCCCCCTTTAGCCTTGATTACTGCAGCACAAATTTTTGGTATTCATTGTAAAAGTTTCTCAAAGTTTGATAATTGATTCCATTCTTTTTTCAATAACTCTAAGAGCTCATTTTATTTATTTTTTTCACTCTTCTGTCAAGTTCATCCCATGCTAATTCTTGGAGTGACTTCAAATTTTTAAACTGTAAACTATATATATATATATATATATATATATATATATATATATATATATATATATATATATTATATAGCAAAAATTAATCTTGCTAAGACTACTACAGTTTACAGAATTTACAGCTCTCTTTAAATATTCAATTGTCTCCTTGATGCAAAGTAATTATACAATTTATTAATTGATGTGATTTCATTTTGCGATTTTCATGTAAATTCAGAGTTAAAATTGGCAAAATATTTTCTGCTCAAATATTTGCAATATTATAAAAAGTTCTGATAAAAGAAACAGAGATAATTTGGATCATTTTGCAATCACTTAATGTTTCCAAAATAAATGTTAATTGATAACAATGGTTAAATATCTGTGTTGTTAAAAAAGATTGCAAAATGAGCCAAATTATTTGATTTTTTATCAAAAAATTATATTACAAATATTCAAGTTTTACATAATTCAAAAGACTAAGGTCTATTTTTCAAATTTTGCAATCTAATATGAACAACAAAATCATTTTTAAGAAAGGGGAAATAAAGAAAAACATGACTTACCTTTTCCTGGCACCTTTTGATAATCTCATTTGTGAAGTGAGGCAGTTGTTTAAGATAAGAATCTTTACTCCACATAGCCTGAGTGACCATCTGAGCAAGTTCCATAGCTGACAGTGCAGGGCTAAGCCAACCATTACTGCTGAGTACATCCACACAAGCTTGGATTAAACGAATTGCCTGAGAGAGAAAAAAAAAAAAAAGAAAAAACATACCTTAAGTGAAAATTCTGTCTACACAGCCAATCCTCCTCCCTATATTGTCCATCAGTGATTTCATTCATCTAGGATGTGCATTACATGTAATAGTTATCCATGTGCGAAAGGAATTCAGCTAAACAAGTTCAAATTTTAACCAAGTTTGTTGTATTCAATTTAGCACAAATGCTCTTGAGAAAAGCCAGAGTTCATTTCTTCTCTCCCTCAGCTATAGATTAAATAGTAGGGGAGACTGGGCTCTATGCTATAGCTGCCAATGGCAAACAGTTTAAGATTTTAACTGATTTGTTTTTTTACAGCTTATCAACCTTTTGCAGGTTATTTAATGCCAGAAAACATTCTTTAGACTGTAAGAATATTTTGGAGATAATAATTTTACTGATGCAAGTCCTACTAATTAACTCACACCTGGGGAGAGAAGAAGTGAATTCATACCTTTCCCTAAGTGAATATAACGAACCCAACTGGAATTGAAACTCAGCTCTCTCAGTTATCCATTATACCATCCACACATCCAAGTTTACAGCACCTGATATTCCCAAACAGTCACCCATCTAGTTACTGCCAAGGCTCAATGTTGCTCAACTTCAGTGATTGCACAAGAACCAGTGTTTCAACATGATATGGCTGTAAGATGCAACCAGTCTAAGAGATAGAAACCTAAATTCCAAACCATGGAGAAGGCCATAAGAAACTACTCCACTATCTTTCCTAAGAAGTCATGGTAATTCAAAGATAATAAAGAAAAGCAATCTGAAGAGTCATGAAGCTACAGTCATTAAAAAGAGAAATTTACATTTCTGTAATCGATTTCCCTTCAAGTTCTCTGCCCTTATAAATAATCCAAGCAGAAAAACTAAAAACAGAAATGAAGCCAAAACTCAAATTATTGCGCCCTCCATTTTCATCATCGTCGGATTCAATTTTGCTTTTATTTATACATAATCAAATTTTATAGAACATTTTTATATTAGGAATTTTCTTTTTCTACAACATCAATTGTACAAAGGTTAGTTGGTTCATTGGCTGATTTTGTTTAGCGGCATATCAATTTCTATAGGTTATTTAATGCCAAAGTCTAAATATTTTTAATACATTTTTATGGCTTCAACTAAATATATTTTTAATACATTTTTATGGCTTCAACTACAGATAAAATGCATTGTTGGCCATTATATATATATATATATATATATATATATATATATATATATATATATATATATATAGCTGGTATTTTACTATAATAATGTGTTTTTAAACTTTTATAATAATGTGTTTTTAAACTTTTTTGTTTGTGTTTCACTATTTGCCCATAACTGGTACCCTAACAGGTGTTACCACCCTGGGTCAGGGAACAACAGCGATTAAGAGGTGATTCCAGGATCCTCAAAACCTTCAATGTCCTGATCAGAGACCTTTCTGCCAGATGTAGTTTATTGTCATACCCAGGAATAAATTGTACAAAGAAACACCAGTATTTAATGAAGGCTTCCTTCTTTATCAAGTTAGATTTTTTTTTTTTTCTCTCAAGTTGATGAGTGATGTCTTAGAAATCAACATGAAAGAGAAGAAAAAAAAATAAAAGGAGAGTGGTACCTACCTTTCCAAGAATTTCTTCAGTATCAGACTGCAACTCTGCCGGTAGCTGCATTCGAGACAAATGGGCTTGAAGAAGAAGATTGGTTTTCATGTGTGGATCATTATATTTTGGGTTGGTCAGCTTGTGGGGTAAGCGAGTGGCTAGCTGTGAAATAAAGCAAAGGAAAACCTATTATAATCAAAAGACCAAAATTCTCATTACACTTGACCATCTTTAGGATACTATAGAGTCTACAAATTTTCATCTGAGCCGCAGGCAAAATGAATAGACCTGCAGATACAAGATCTCAAAGCATACCATCACGGATTATATGTCTCATGCAATTCCTGTTATAAAAAGCAGTCAACACCTTCATTATGCAAATACCCTGAACCATGTTGTCAAAGAAGTTCAAAATTATGAATGAGTAAAAGTTATGTAGAGTGAATAGCCATGGTTAAATGTAAAATAAATGACAGCACTGTCCAACAAACAGAATTGGGAAAGTTTGCAATAAGCAATAACAAGAAAAATAAAATAAAATAACATAACAGGGCAAAAAATAATATAAAGCAAGCAAACAATATAAACAAGGCAAATTAAAAGTAATATAAAAAGTTCACAAAGTAAGAATTGGAGTTGACACACAAAAGTAAGTTCAGATAAGCATATATAGAATTCTGACAAGAAGACAAGACAGACTGAGACTAAGTCATATGAAAATGAGAAACTAGCCTTTTTTATTGGCTAGGAAAAAAATCCCAGAATACATGTCTGTGTCTGCTGAAATTCCTCAAGTGATATGGTTTCTGTAATTTGTTACAGTTCTTTGTTAGTGATTCTGTAGCATCAATCCAGAAGGTTTGAAAAACAACAGTCTTCTTCAAGACCTACGAGTGAAACGTCTGCTCCAACTGAAGTTAACGTCTACAACAAGTCCACCACAAATGCTACTGCATTTCCTATTGTAGAATTTGGTAAGAGAAACAGTACTCAACCGTAATAAAAGTTGAGTCTAACTGACACTTGTCTAGGCAAGTTGGTAGGTGGCTTATATAGCAGCCTGGGAGATTCCGCTCTGTTAATCAGGCAAGACTATTCTGTAAGTCCTGATTAGTTGGTGACTTTGGTGTGGATACTGTGCTCAATAAATATCCATCAGTAAATCATGAATGCTGGGATTTGTATTGAGTTACAACCAAGTTTATTTTTGTCCGCCAATTGGATGCTAGTTGGGAACCTTGCAAGGATGAGTATCATATTTTTGATTCTTCATCTATGAACCCAGTGATTACAACCAAAATACAAAATAGAGATACTACCCACACTTAACTGACAGATACCACAAATCCATTTCCCTAGAGTCATATGTTTGCAAAGGATGGCTTGTTACTGTTAATGCATCCAAGACTAAACTGCTCTTTATTAATCATTTGAGAGACACCCCCCACCCCCTTTCTGGCTGATGCTAACCTCCAGGAAAGCAACTCATTGCACCTTCTCAGGCTAAAATTTTTACGCTGACATGAAGTGGAAAGCTTATATTGAATCTATTGCTAAGTCAGCTGCTAGGAATGTTAGTTCACTGTGTCGAGCTAGACAGTTTTTCTCTGCAGAATCTATCTTACATATCTATAAGTTTACCATTCACCCATGCTTAGAATATTGCTGCCACATATATTTCAGTGCTCTTGCTATATATCTAGGGATTCTTGATAAGATCCAAAGAAGAATCAACAACATTATTGATCCTGGTCTGCGGTCTCAGCCTCAGTCACTTTCCCACGATAAAGTTGCCTCCCTGTGCCTTTTCTATAAACATTTTCATGGTAATTGCTCAGATGAGTTCTTCGTTACAGTACATAAACTTTATGAATTTAAACGCAATACTAGACTGGCAAGTAGGTCTTTCCGTTGAGTTGACTAGATGTAACTGTAAGTTCTACACTAACATTTTCTTTTTCTCGCTTGTAGAACTCTTCCAGCTCCATGCTTTCCAGTCAACTTTTATCTTAAAAAATTGAAATGCAGTGTCAATTGCTATCTGCTTTCCTCCTGATTACACTTCTTTTGTTCTTGATCCTTAGTAATGTTTGTGTTTTTTAATTTATTTCTTAATGGCTTTACTGCCTTGCTTGGGGTGAACTTAATAAAAAAAACAAAATATTAGCATCAAAAATCATAACTTTCATCTTTTCCAAGTTGATTCTCAGATCCTTGCTTTCCAGGACTCATATTCAGACTTAGTTTGTTGCCTAAGTCATCAAGGGTTTCAGCAGTCACTAGATTAGCAGCATAAAAGAGTTTGGAAGAGCAATCTTTAATCGTTTAACCTTTAATTTAATCTTTAATCTTTACATAGGCCATCTCTTAACAAGTAATATTTCTGTTTGTGTTTAAAATTTAAAGTTGTGTATTGGTCATAATGTATCAACTAAGAATGTCTTATTACTATTTACATCCATGTGAGAAGAGATGGCACTGAATGTTACCAATCCTGGCTTCACAAAATTAAAATTCCAAAAACTGTTTTCCTTACCTGTTTCAACACTTGGTCTTCATGATGACGGATGGGAATCGATTCATATTCGGCAGCATTGGAAATGATTTCAATTAGACCCTTAACTTTGGTCTTGGCATTCAGTGACATGCTAAATAATTCTGAAAAACAAATCATCAGAAATTTACATCACCAATTAGAAAAACAATTGAGAAAAAATTGTCTTAACATTTCCCAAATCCTTCCTTGAATTGGGCAAACTTCCAATGCAGTCTCTTTAGCATTTGACAGGCATAACAACAAAACCAGCAAAATTAAATTAATTTCCAAATTATAAAAAGAACAAAAAACAGTTAACTCATTACTATTAACTCTTAACTTCCTAAAAAGCCCCTTTAAAACTGTTTTATGGTTCACTAAGGATTTCCCGGAAGTTAAAAAATGGGTGATTATCTAAAATTCTTTAACATATTTTTTAACAGAAAGTTGTCTGATTGGCAATATCAGAAGTTCTGTGGTTTATCTACAAGATAAATATACTTAGAAGAAATTGCAATAAATATTGTGCAAAATTAATAGCTAATTCCACTTACAATTTCTTTTTAAAATTTGAAGAATTAACACCTAAAATATGGACAATTATGAAAACTATATTTTAACTTTTAGCAAAATAACTAAAATTTGGAATAACATCAGTTCTATGGTTTAATTTCTTGATAAACATGCAAAGTATTGTATTATATGGTTAAAGAAAATTTAATTGTAACAATGTATTGAAGAATTTCATAGCATAACAAGAAGAGTTATTAACATTTCAAATTTTGTTTGGATAAGCCTTCTTCATGTTCTTGAAGTTACAACTCAATCCATTACAGCCAATCAATTCTTCAGACTTTATTTTTCAACAATAAAACCATTCTTTACATCTCCTTACTAGAACAGTTTAACAAAAGATAACATATAACATCATATGAAAATGTGAAAAAGTGTTTATGGAGGAAATAATCCATTTACTTAAAGTCAGACAAGGAACATTAGAAAGCCACAGCCAAAGGTCATGTGGGAAATCTAGTACAGCAAACAATATCTGGAAAGAGAAGAACAGATTACTCTGTCTGGGATGAGGTTTAGATAACGCTGGAGAATGATAAAGTTGAAAGAAGCAACAAACAATGGCATGTTGGCCTGGTGCATACAAGTTTTGCCAGTACTATGTAGTGTTTTTTTTTTTCCTTTTTGATTAGCAAATATTGGGGAAATCCCACATGTATACATTGGAATAGAGAGTGTTGATCTAACTTTGATAGAATGGGCTGATCCAGATATATTAACAATATTTTTCTTCCATCATTTTATTGTAGATTATACTCCTGACAGTTTGAAGAATGAATCAGCTGAAATATTGTAAGAGTAACATCAAGGACAGGAAAATGTTCATCTGTCAAAAAAATAAAATAAAATAAAAAAATAAAAATAAAGAAACTGTACAAGTTGTGAATAGTTGATACTTACCAATAGTTGTGTAGTTAATATAGTAGTAAGCAGCAATCATTCCCAAGTTGAGAGGAGCTACATCCATTTCATCTTCCACACTAATGCACTAATTAAATATAAACAAAGGTGAACAAGTGAGTTTATAGTCTTTCAAATTAATCTTTCTTGGTTTGCTAATATCACATGAATGAATCAAAAAGAATTTTTACATATACATACACACACACATATATATATATGTATGTATGATAAAGACAAATGGAAAAGTCATCTTATCTTCAGAGGGACTTTATCAAGGCAAATGCATTTGCCTTGAGAAATCCCTCAGCTAAGATGTTTTCCTTTTGTCTTTATTCATAGTCCTTATACAGATATACATTCTATCTGAAATTTTACATATATATAACTGACAACATAAACCAGTGAAAACATAATATATGAAAATGAAGAAACCAATAGCATAAAAAATAAAAGTCTTTGATATGTCCAAAGATGACAGAATTGACAATTTATATCTAAATAGGTACTGGAAATGAAGAAAATAAAAAAAATACATAAAAATAAAAAAAATTCTCAAAAAAGAACTTTTTTTTCATAAGCAAACTATATATATATATATATATATATATATATATATATATATATATATATATATATATATATATATATATATACACAGTTTGACTGAAGGCCAGCAAAAGTTCTGGGAAAATTTTTGGTTATTCTTTTCTATATTAAAGTATATTAACCCCTTTCCTGACATAGATGTGTATATACATTTTTACTGAAAATTTCTTTTTCAGACACTAACAAATAAACATGTACAAAACAATGTTCAGAAACCAGCTATAAATGTGTTTATACATCGGCATTGATTTTTATGCCCTTCTGAGCTTGAAATTGTCCAACTGTCATCTCATATGTTTGGTAGAGGTGTTAGCCAATGCTTGGGTACTTCAAGGTACCTCAGTTTCTTTGTTAACATTAAAAACAAATAGAAAAAAATATTGTCTGTAAAATGAAACGTTTTTCCCAAAATAATTGGCAGAGAAGGGTTTAGGGATTATTTTTATGTTTTTCAGAGAAAATTTGAATATAAATTGTCTGATACCTCAGTACTTGACTTTCATAAACTCTTCTTAAATACATTCAATATATGATAGTGCAGACATAGATATTGAGAGGTCACTCCCATAACTCCCCTACACTCACAATTTCATTATATCAGGTAGTAGATGTTTTCATTTATACAAAAAAAGTGATATCATTTAACAAAAGATGCAAGTCATCAAATACGTTTTTTTTTTTTAAAGCAATAGCCATTGCAATGAATCTAGTCATAGAATGAATAATCCTCTCTTTTTTAAGTGGAGACAAACAAATCTCAATGATTGTCAGCCATATCCTCAATTCAACCTTCAGGATATCTATCATAATTACTGAAATTCCCCACAAAACAGGAACTCTAACATTAATTTACTTATTTTTACTTATATAGATATTTACCTCAAGATGTTATGGTATAAAAAATTTTTTTTTTTTTTTTATGCCATATAGTGTTTATAATGATTACATTTTCTAACAATCATCAGCACTATGCAAAAACTTAAATTTAAGTTTTAAAAATAAAATTATGCTTTTACCTTTGATTGTTCCAAATCATTGATGGTATTTTCTACAAGTTCAGATAAGTGGTCAGACAAATGTCGATGTGATACACCTAAAACAAGAAACACATAATTAAGTAATAACATAATGGAATGTTTTTTAAAATTTTTTTTGGCACATCAATGTCATACTTATTTCTATGCTTTATGCCATTTTATTTTCAGAGCCACAATCACTTTTACAAACCTACAGAAAGAGACATATGTTATTCCTGAAATGTCTGAAGGAAAAAAAATTTCTTAGTCATAAAAGCAGAGTTCTAGAATTATGATGTTTGCTTAAATATTTGGCAAAAAATTTTATTTTCTATTTTCTTAATATTATTTTCAATAAAACATACACAGATTAAGATTGGTAATTTGAGAATTTAGAGAAAAATGTCAAGATGTGCTGCCTTAAATGGTTATGATTGAATTTGTTGATTCATGTACCAAGGTTGCATGCAAACAATACCAGTACCAAGAATTAATTTTGGCTATTTCAGTAGATTCCTGCTGCATCTTAGGGAAGAATATAGCTGCACTAAATGATGCTGATACCTTACAAGTCTAAAGGAATTCAACTGCCCAACTATTTACTCATAGATAGGAAAAGTGGATTCATGCCTTTCCCAAGTGTGTTAGTGCAAAGTGAATGCAGACTGTTCTAGTTGGAGTTTGGTTTGGCAATTTTATTCTCCATACCTTTAATCATTAGGCTACCCACATCTCCAAGAGTTAAACTTGGAACATTAACCCTTTGAACCCTGGCCAAGTATGGATCTCCCAACCTAGGCACCTACTGTCCATGACTCTGGGCAGTATACTGGCTACCCGGGTATATTCAATTTCACACAGTGTCCAATATACTGGCCACTCAGGTTCCAAGGGTTAAAAACATAAGAAAAAAAAAACAAAAGAAAAAAAAAACAAAAAAAAAAAAAAAAAAAAAAAAAAAAAAAAAAAAAAAAAAAAAAAAAAAAAAAAAAAAAAAAAAAAACAAAAGAAAAAAAAAAAAAAAAAAAAAAAAAAAAAAAAAAAAAAAAAAAAAAAAACAAAAGAAAAAAAAACACAAAAGAAAAAAAAACACAAAAGAAAAAAAAAAAGAAAAAAAAAAAAAAAAAAAAAAAAAGAAAAAAAAAAAAAAAAAAAAAAAAAAAAAAAAAAAAAAAAAAAAAAAAAAAAAAAAAAAAAAAAAAAACAAAAGAAAAAAAACAAAAGGAAAAAAAAACAAATCAATTGTTGTGTTTGTGGCTTTCTGTATGTGTTTGCCAAAAATATCATTTAATGTTTATGTTGAACAAAATATCATTTAATGTTTATGTTGAACAAAATATCATTTAATGTTTATGTTGAACAAAATATCATTTAATGTTTATGTTACACAAAACAACATAAAATTTAAAAATTGAAACATAACTATATTATTTCCCTCCCAAAAATCTCTGATGAAGTTAATCAAATTGTGAATCATGAAGAGTTATAAAAGATTTTCCGACTTATTCCTGATTTAATCATTGTCAAATTTAATCCATATTTTCAACTCAGAATGAGAAAGCTCAGAGTGCATTAGCTGAAATGTTTTAATGAGAACTTCAAAGATGACAATGACAATTATAATAATTAATATAATAATGACAATGGAATTTTGAAGTAAATGATGGATTTTTTTAAACTGACATTATTTCTTATTAAAACCTTGAAGGTAGTTTCTCAGATTAAAAATGGAATACACATTCAATCCCTGTCAGAAGTCACAATTTCTTTAAAATACAGAGATTAATTTCAACATTAAAAATATAATAAAACAACAGGAATGACTACTCAAACACATGTACCCACTAAAGCAGGGTTACACAAATTTTTTTAATGGAGTACTGTATCATTGTTGGCTCTGTGTAAAGTGGGCTGTATCAAAATAACAATTCAACTTTCACAGCAACAATATAAATGACAAACATATATACCTATGTTATTTTTACATTCATTTGCTTAAGAGAAACATTTTGTGAATAGTCTGCATAAATATATGAGAAATTAATTTAATTGTTACTATTAATGAGATTTATACATGTGAGAAAAAATATTTCATAATAAAAATTTTTTAACAAATCCCATGAGACATTTATAACAAAACAGACATTTCATCCAATGTACATGCAGCCACCTAGATTGCTATGACAGCTTACCTTGTGCCAATGATTGAGCATCATCATTGACAAAGTGTAGGATGTACTAATCCAGGTGTTTCTGCGATAGTACATAATGTGATATGTTGATTTTGTCAGAAGCAAGTTATCTGAGAACTGGTGTTCATTATTAAATTATATGATTTGTATCTTTGTTATTTTTATTTGTTTTAAATTGGTTACTATTTTGTATAAACATGTAACTAAAATATACCAAAATTTAAGAAAAAAAATTTATTTAAGGATATTTAAAAAATAATGTTTATTGTGCTCTTGCAGGTCATATAAAATCATCAGGCAGGCAGGCAGAATGCAGGCCATAGTTTACCCAACCCTGCACTAAAAAGAACATTTATAGCAATAAGAAATAAGAAAAATGGGCAAGAGAGAAATACAAATTGAAATAATGGTCAGAACTAAGATGATGATGCCAAACAAAATCATGAAATCATAATATTTCAGCCCATAATTTCAGACAGTATTTTTATTTATTGCAGATCTGAAATGGAACCTAAATGCAACAGACTTTTGATGTAAGCTGATAAATCTTTAAATAAAAAGAACAAACAAAAGAAGCTCACAGTCAGTGAATACATTAAATGTCTAAATCTAAGCAACCATATGAAGCAGTATATCAATTCTTATTCACCTTGTAAATTGTAATAGTTGGGGTTCTGTGTCATCCTGCGATAAAGAAAGGTCCAGGTGAGATAGTCAACAGCGTCTTGTTTGTTTTCAATGGTCTTGGTGACAATTTCAGCATTGAAGTGATCATGAAGGCAATGATCCAAATGACTCTGAAAGAAAAAGAAAGAAAGAAAAAACAATTTTAACTAAATTCCAGTGACACACCCACTTTGTTAATTTACTGATAGTTATTAACTATAAATTAGTAATTATTATTATTGTTGTTAATTATTAATGTACACTTAGTAATTATTATCAGTAATGATTTAAAGTTATTTAATGATTATTCTCAGAGAAACCGTAATGATTAATTTCATTTTTATTGATCTTTTTATAATTAATCATTATTCAATTTAAAAAAAAAAAAAAAAAAAAAAAAAAAAAGGTGCTGAAAAGTTCTCAGCCTGACCTGTATCTCAAAAATTAATATTCTGATGTCTGGACATTGAAATAATGATTTGGGGTCAAGGGTCAGGCTGATAACTTTTTAGTCCTCCATCAATGATGTCTTAATATGAAAAATATTCTACTAATCAAAACTGATATGAATTACAACTTCAATTATTTCTAAATTTTATTCATTTCTTGAAAAAGCAGCTCAGACTCTTTATAAAAAATGTATTGTCCAATATTTCAGATGTACAGTATATGGTTACAAAGTATAAAAACTGTTTTAATCAAGAGATTTATTAAATAAATTTATTAATCAAAAGCATAAAAAGGTAGGTCAAAAGTGACTGAAGGATTTTTTTCTCTTCATAAATATTTATTATTTTTATTTTATTAACGATTTGCAGTTAAATTAGTTTAAAAAAATTATAAATAATGTCAATCAAAATAAAGAAAATTATTTACAAAAATGTAAAATGAAAATTTTAAATTCTGTATTCCAAGCTACCACCACCCCCAAATTGAAATTTTACTTTCAGTTTTCTTCAATTATATGAGCACCTCAAAGAAAAGTGAAAAGTCAAGTTGGTACCTTTAAATTGATAAATTTAATTGACTGCATTTTAAAAAAATTTAAATCTACCAGCCCTAAGATTACTATTAACCAGCAAGGGTAGATTAGGTAAAAAGAACTAAAGCTTTAATTAAATTTTATGCAGTAATGAGTTAATTTTGTGGTTATAATTACTGTTATTTGATATATGATAAATACTTTCAGGAAGAAAAAAGTTCCTTGGGCCTGAAATGAGCTAGGAAATTAGATTTTTAGTTTACATTTCGTAATAGAGAATCAAGTGAGGTAAGTTCAGGCAATGCAATTCATCACATTATTGGAATCCAATCATATTTTCTAAGAAATCTTCAACAGATCTATTTGAGGTTCAAACAGGAAGAATACCAACCTGAAATAAGAATATTAAAAAAAAAAAAAAAAAAAAAAAAAAAAAGAACCATTTCTGCAATGTTCCACTCGTAATAACCATAACAAATGGATGTTACAAATTTTAATACAATTATAAACAAAAAGTTAGAACTTACTTCCACAGGTAAGGGTTCATATAAGAATTTTTTGAAAAATTCTTTCTTGGAGCTTTGACAAAGAATAACAGCTTTGCCTTCCTGGTCTTGTAATGGTCGGTTGGCATGTCCAAGCATTTGGAGAACATCAGTGATTGGATAATCTTCATAGCTGCACAAAAAAAAAAAAAAAAAAAAAAAAAAAGACAATCAACATTTGGCATTAACAAAAAATACATTTCAGAATAACTTATTCCTAATAATTGATAAGAATTAACAAATAATAAATAAATAAAACTAGACTTTTTTAAGATTGGGGATATTTGTTTTATTGTGATTCATAGGTGACAAATTACAATTTCTGATTTACAAATTTTTGTCAAAGTTAAAAATATAAATGAAAAGTTTTTTTAGCTTATATATATATATATATATATATATATATATATATATATAATATATACAATTTATTTTTTTTCACTCATATTTTGAAACAATGGAACATAGCTGCAATTAGAACATCAACTAAGTCTAGAGGGCTCTAAATGACTTGATCTGGGACTGAATGATCTGGTGTTTTGTGACCAGTAGTAAGATTTTCGAAGCAACTACCCACTGTCCAGAAGTATAAAAAAAGGAAATAAACAAATAAATGAATTAAAACTTTCAGGATTAAATGCAACCTGGCCAAAAAGTTGGGTTATAAGCTTATATAGGTAAAGTCACAGTCATGGTTTTTTTTTTTCTACCAGTTCATTTGCAACAGCTTATCAACTCTTTGTCAGTTATTTAAAATCAGAAAATATTTCTAGATTATAACAATTTCTTTGGGAGATAATGGTTTTGTGATACGAGTCTTACTAATTAACTCATAACAGGTGGGAGAGAAGAAGTGGATTAATACATTTCCCAAGGGTATTTGAACACAAGTGAATATAATGAATCCAACGGTAATTGGAACTCTGTTCTCCTGTTATCAATTCAGAGACATTATCCATTACACCACCTGCACATCCAAGCTTACAACACCTAGTATTCCCAAACGGTCACCCATCTAGATACTGACCAAGCTTAACATTGCTTAACTTCAGTGATTGCATAGGTAACAATGTTTTTTAACGTGATGCTGCTGTAAGCCCCAGAATGGGGTTGGGTGACAAGATGGCAATCAAGATGCAGAGAGAGAGAAAGAAAGAGTTAGAAAGCCACATGCGATATAGAGATGGATAATAGGACAGGGTCTAAGTTCTCACTGATCAAAGAGAAGGTCTGGTCTTAGTTTGTCATGAATCCTAAATGTCACTTACCTACCTCCAGATCATGTCAAATGAATTCATAAATAACTGACCAAATATATTCAGGTGAGGATTTTCGTTTTAATTTTCTTGCCATAGCGTTATTGCAACTTCCATTCTCTTGTGAACATACACTAGACATTTCCTAAATTTGTGCACACAATAACACAGACAAGAATCAAAACATGTCAGGTGCTTTGTCCAAACAGTGAAAGACTGTAAGGGTTCTGGGTTGTATGTTCACAATTTAAAAATTCAATATTCTATGGTAAAGTTTGAGAAGAGGGAAAAGATTTTTTATATTTTTCTAACAACAAATCCCCAAGTCTCTAGTCTAAGAACATGCACAAGAACTTGAACTTATTTTCACGATAGACATCCCATTAATTACCAAAAACTTTTACCCTACTCCAACAATTCTTAAAAATACTAAAAACTGATGACTGCAAAAAAGGGTTGAATGAGAATAAAAGTAAAAATGAACAAAGCTATGTAACTCACGAATGTGCCTTTCCATCATAATACTGTGTATCCATAACAATGGTAAGATGTGCTGCCATTGTCATGCCCCATGCCAGACTACGTGAGGCCACAACCACCTGTACAGCTCCAATCATAAACAGTTGTTCCACTACTTTACGCTCATCATCATTGAGACCTTCATGCAGATAGGCCACACCATTGCTGATGGTTTCTTTCAGGGTCTATAATTGGAGAAAAAAATCTTTTAAAAAAATTATATGAACTGGGATGAAATACAAATCAAATATGGATCAGAAACTGATAGAATAGGATATAGAACAAATAGGAAACATTATAAATCTTAACATGTTTCCCTTTTATTAAAGTTTTTTCAGAAAATGAAATAGAGAAAAAAAATTCTAGTATTTTTATACTATCATAATCGTGTGTCCCTAACAGGCATTATTTATGTTTGGTGGTTGATTTGAGGACGTTTTATGTAAACACACTTACAATTATACATTATCATCCAAATCCCACATGTACATACTAGAATTATGATATACTTATTCACATAAATTATACACATAAATACTGCTTAACTAATGACATCAAACAACACAAAATAAAAATACCAGAATTTTATCTCCACATCTCATTCTCTGAGGAAGCTTTAATAAAATTGATTTATGTTTCTTATTTGTTCTTTATCCTTATATATTATATATACACACACACACACACACACGTTGCTATGTACATATTTTAGATTAGTTTTTCTTTACATTTTTGTTATTGAGTTTTTAATGTCAACACTTCAGTTATTTTATATTCAATTACTGTTAAATAACCAAATCACATACTCCGTGGAACTTCAAAACTTCATATCACGAAACATCTCATTTTAACACTGATTCCCTGGCATTTTAAATTGATTTCCTCAACTCACAAAGTTTTGGAGATATTTCAAACTGAATTTAAAACAAAAACTTTCAAATTTACAAAGTTTTTGTGTTACTTTAAACTTTAAATAAATTAAAAAGTTTTAAAAATAACTAATTTTTTTCAGTTATTTTTAAAGTTTGAATTTTTCACTGTTCCCTCTTTGTCCAGAAACAAATCACAATGCTGGATGTTCAAGCACCAGATGAAGGACAAATTTTCAATCCGAGGATCATCCTAAATCCAAAAGGGTATAATATGTCTATATAGAGCAAGTGTGGGGAGAGCTGGATGGGTTTCAGACACATGGAGGGACAAAGAGAATTCACTGTTTTTTTGTTTATTATTTAGAAGATAGATTATACAAAAGAAATGGTTACAACTGATATTTTATCCTGTATTTGGAATGACAAGGCAAAACTATACTTGTAATCCCAATAACTTGATTGATCTGATAAAGATATAAAAGTAATGTGAATAATATAAATAATGACAAACACGTATAAAAAAAATTATATAGGCGAGTTCACTAAATTTTTATATTATATAAAATCTTAAAACAACTACTACAAGCTTATATCTGTACTTTTAATACTTTTTCTTGGGAAAAAAATATAATAAGAAAAACTTGCATACCTTGTCAGCTATTTTGTTGAGGAACGGCTTTAGATCCGTTTCTGACACATGTAAGAATTGACTGGGTTGAATGTCTGCTGCACAGAATGTAAGGATATCTATAGCAGTTAAGCGGGTCTGCTTGCGAGAAGGAACAAACACAATCACAGGTTTCTTGGGGGAATGTCTCAGAATGGCTTGATATACAGGTTTTGCCATGGCAATTATACGTGAAGCATTGTGGCTGATATTAAAACCCTGAAAGAACAAAATACAGATTTAAATGAGTTTTTTGCCTTTTAACAAAACCATCAAAACCCAAAAGCCTTGTAAAAGAGTAAAAAAAAAACATTAAAAACTTATGTAACAAAGATAGTAATAAAGAACAAGACATTCCTAAACATGGTCAGTAGAATTGATTGATGAATTCATTTTTACGGCTTAGCAACCCTTTGCAGATTATTTAAAGTCAGAAAATATTTTTAGATTGTAAGAATTTTTTTTGAAGGAGTGGGAGATAATAATTTAGTGATACAAGTCTTACTAATTAACCCATAACTGGGGAGAACAAGTGGTGGAGTCATACCTTTCCCAACAGTATTTGCACACAAGTGAATATAATGAACTCAACTGGAATTGGAATTTGGCTCTCCAATTAACAATTTCAAGCTGTTATCCATTACAGCACCCACACATCCAAGCAACTGGTATTCCCAAGTGGTCACCCATCTAGGTATTGACCAGGCTCAATTTTGCTTAACTTTAGTGAATGTATGAGAACTGGTGTTTCAATATGACGTGACTGCAAACTTTTGGTCAGTAGAATGAGAACAATTTATTCATGTAGATTAAATAAAGGTTTCAGTTTGAAATTCCTTAACAGTTACAAAGATCACAAAGCAGCCGATGATGGCTGGATAGCACAATGGTCAAAACATTGTGATAATAATAACAAAGATTAGGATATTAGTTCCTATGTACATACTGATAACTCCTCAATGAAAAAATTCAGACAAAGATTCAAGACTTTAATTCTGTATATATCACACCTGGACATTGTACTCTCAGCAATTTCCATGAAAATGTAAAAGTGTTGCCATTTTTGGACAAATTGGAGACTGATAAAAACGCATATATTACAAGGGATGAAGACAATTTTTTAATGGAAGTGAACAGGTTAATAATGAACATCTCAAAATGGATAGGTTTGCTAATCAATTAGAGAATTTAAAGACTGCTTTGAAGAAAAAGAAACCAAGTTTCATCATGGCACTATATATCAGTGAACACATCTGAAAAGAAAACTTCACTCAAGATTTCATGGCTATTTCAACTGTTGATGACAACAGAGCCGTTCAAACTAAACAAAGCTTTGTCATAACATAAAATTACCACTACCTACACTTGTTCAGTTCTTATAGTCATTTATCCAAGGCATACAACAACTGCTATTCAAATACATCAGTAGTGGTACATGTGCTAATCACTCATGGATTATAAAAATTTTAAAAATATGCTAAAAATGTGAGAATTGTAAATGCATAATCATCTAGGTTTTTTTTTTGTTTTTTGGTTTTTTTAATACAGGTTTTTTGAGAGAAGTGTATGTTTATGTTTGTAAAAATTGTTAAATGTTTTTATGGCCTTCTTAGCTCAAGCAGTTGACTGCCAAAATTATTTGTTTTGCTGTCATGGATTCATTTTTCAAATTCTTGGAGAAAGGCTTCATATATGTTGGCCAATGAGAGACAATCTCTTGAAGCTCTAGTGAAAACTTGAAGTCAGCTGGTATGATGGCCCTTTTTCAATAAAAAAAAAAAAAAAAAAAAAAAAAAGATTGTTCTGAGAGGATAAACATCAGAAAGAAGGAACTGTTAACTACACTTCAAGAGGACTGGTCCAGCCAAAGCAGGAGAGGGGTCATAACTCTGGGAAAGAAAGAGCCAACAGAGTCGAAGCAGATTCAAACACCAGGACAGAACATTCCTTTCTGTGCCACCCTGAGAAGAATTTAGACCAAAAGAACTTTCAAGTTTAATTTTCCAGCAAAATACTTCAAAAAAGCTTTTGAGATAACATGAAAACTCCTTCGTGCTGAAATGTGTCCTAGTATTCTGTTAAGAATGGAAGTGGGTGCATTTTGTATTTTCTGCATTGTGTGATCTTTTTTTTTTTACTTTCTCTATGTTTTATATTTTTTTTCTATTTTTAAAGGGTGTAATCTTTTTTTGTCTTTGAATCCATGTCTTTTCCAAAAAATTGTAACACATTTTTCCTTGTATCTGATGGTAATCCCTTTTGTAACCTCAGAAAATTGTTATCCTGTCATAATAAGCACACAAAAGGAAATTTTTGTGCAACTTTGTATTTGTACATTTTTTTTGTAATATTGTAAAATAAATTTGTTTTTCTTTTTAAAATTTTACACAGTAGTCATCTTGTTTTGTGATTTTACATGAGTTGTGACTTGCTGTTTCTACTAAGTTCTGTGTCTGGCACAAGAACTTAAGATTTGATAGGAAATTAAAATTTTTATACCATCAAGAAGGCACACCCCTAACAGGTAGTATGCACCACTTAAGCCCAAGAGAACAAACAAGGGCAAAAAACATTTCACTCCCACCACACCAGACGTGTCCTATTCAGTCTTTTGCCCTGTTGGCTCATTTCTCTTCTATAGCCACCCACCTTATTCTCCAGATCTTACACAATTACCACCTAACCAGGAATTTACAAAACACATGGTTAGGGGTGAATCTACCCTCTCTTACTTTCTTTTCCCCCTAAACCAAAATACTTTTTACAAAAACATTGGCATGAAGCTTGTGAATGATTACAAAGAGGTTATTAATTATCAATAGTACCTATAAACAAATTTTTATAGATATTGTTCTGACACTAAATATCGATATTTGTTAGCTGATACCCAGAAACAAATTATTTGTTTAAAAAAAAAAAAAAAAACCTACCCACAAATGCAAATAAACAAGTGTATAAAAAATAAGCCTGAATGTATTAAGAAGTCTATGCTAATATTAAAAATAAATTCTAAGGAGTGTCTTTATTTGGTGCAGGTAAACTGCTTCTTACCTGAATATGAAGTTCGAGAGGTACTGGACGCACATTAGGGTGAAAATTGAAGAATCCACCTGTGCTGCATCCAAGCCACTGGGCAATATCTTTGGCATTTGACAATGAGGAACTCAGTGCTACAATACGGACATTTCGATTAAGCTGTGATGAAATGTACCTCATTCGAGAACAGATCACTTCTAGCACCGGCTAAAAGAAGAAAAAAAAATAAAAATAAAATGATTATGATGAATAAGAAAAAGTGAAAACTTAAAAATACATAAAATTATAAACTAAATCAAATAGAAATAATTTTATTAATGAATGATGAAACCAAAAAAAGACTAATTCTAAATATTTTTTAACAACTGCTTCAACAGAGGTTTCAGTAAAGGTCTCAGAAGATAGAAGTTAGGCTTCTTTCCTCACTTGGTCAGTGAATGAATCATTTGGCAACTTTCAAAAAACATTAACAATTAATTATGCACTATTTTACTGACAAAGGCTTATTTGACATTATATCAAATTTTATTATATAAGCCAATTTTTGTCACAAAATTGGTATTAACAATAAATATGTTGTGATGTGGGGTCTGGGAAGACACAACGCTTAACTCGACAGAGTCAGTCATGATATTAGTATTCGATACCAAACTAGATGAGTCACTCCAATAGTATTATCTTCCCTTTGACAACTTACCCAGGACTACTTATCATGAATGGATTAGTTCATTCATGATAGTAAGGAGGGTAACTGGCTCTTACAACAACACACAATCGATTACAAAAACATTGACTTGTATATTAAAATCTGACATAGCACAAGTAGTCTAAATGTTTTAAAATTTTAGAGCATTAGAACTTTTCAATTTAAAAATCATTTTAATTTAATAAATCTTTATAATAATTGCCAGCTTTTTTGTTTTTTTAATCATTTCACCCAAAGCAAAGCAATAAAAGCCACAAAAGACTCAAGGGGTTATTGAATGTGAAAGAATAAGATAAAAGAAAATCATTAAGAAATGAGAACAATAAAAGAAGAGAAATAAAAGATAAATAAAATCTTGTACTAAATGAAAAAGAGAAATAGTTTTAATACCATAGTTATTATTGCAACAGATTCTTTCTTGTTTTTGAGTTGGTTTTTTTTTTGTTATTTTGCGGGGGATGAGTGTAATCATTTCACCTCAAGCAAGGCAATAAAGTCACTAAGATACAGGGAATTACTTAGTGTGAAAGAATAGAAGTAAAAAACACATTAATGAGCAAGAACAATAGAAGAACAGAAATTAAGACAAACAATAATGATTGACATTGCATTTAAATTTTTAGAGATCAAAGTTGACTGGAAAGCAAGAAGACCAAAGAGAGTTCCACAAGTGAGAAGTGGGAGGAAAAGCCAAAGCCATAAGTCAAGCAAGTAAAATGTTCGAATGAAATACAATCATCAGAAAATCTCAAAAGCTAAAATAATTTCTTATAATATTCAAACTCAGTAGCCCCTTGTGTCTTAGTGGCATGACTACCTTGCTTGGGGTTAAATGATTTGAAAAAAAAAAAAAAAAATTATTTACTTCATTTCTTCTTGTGAATTCATTAGAAAATAATTTATATGCAGCATTTCTTTTTATCATTTTTTCTTTTTAAATATTCTGAGTTATAATCATGATTTTCTATATTGCTAGACACACAGGATCAAGAAACTAAGTTAGTGCAGGATAATGTAGATACATATAACATTAAAAGTCATAATGAACAGAATATAATAATTAATAATTGGTAATGTTAACTGACCCCAACATCTCCACCAATCAAATGAAGTTCATCAATGATGAATAAATTTACACTCTGGACATTTTTCCTTTGTTTCCAACGGCGTGATAATACATCCCACTTTTCAGGAGTGCTAATGATGATATTGCCCTGTAAGATAAAACACAGTAGTTTAGAAAAAAAAAAAACTGTTTAACACTAATCCGTATCCAGTGACAACACTTAATATGAGGTCTGATCAAGAAGTATTGGAACCATTGCTATGGTAACAAAGCTACATACACAGTGAAACCACTAGGCACAGATTGACCTTGAACTCTGTCACACATCATACTTATTATAAAACCCAGGTTGTGTGTGTCTGTATGTTTATATATTGGATCGGATTTCCTACATTTTTCAACCGATTTCAACAAAACTTCACAGGACTACGTAAAATTACCTTGCGGTGGTTCTGACAGCGCCAAAAATTGGAAAAACACAATTGTTTTTGCGTGAAATCAATTTGAAAACACGATTAAGAGGCATCGCGAGAATGAAAGGGGGACAACTCATATCGAGTTATACTTATTATAAAACCCAGGTTGGTTGTGTGTGTGTGTGTGTGTGTGTGTGTGTTCCTTTATATATGGGATCGGATTTCCTACATTTTTCAACCGATTTCAACAAAACTTCACTTTTTTTTTGGCAGGTAGTGTTTCTTATTGTCTTGCACACTTTTTTCATTATTTTTACATTCAGAATGCTTTACAAGACAATTGTTTATAATAAAATTCTATTCAATCAGTAGACTCATAACGATTGAAAACAATGTTTTTGTTTGAGTTTGGGTTTGACCAATTCGTAAAAAAAAAAAAAAAAAAAAAAAAAATAATTAAGACATGCGTGTCCGTCAACCTTAAACAATAATCTTTGTCAATTTTATTTTCAGTCTTTATGATGGTCGATACTTGATCTATCTCTTACTGTTACAGCCCCGGGCAACACCAGGCTCTACTGCTAGTACATGCTAAATTGTTTATAGCAGTGCTTGGAAGGAAAGTGCATAGAGTATGGTCATTTCACTACACCACAGCAGTTCCATCAGTGACCATGGCTTCTGTAGCAGTTTTTGGCCAAGTACAACATTCTCCAGGTCCGACAACCACCAAATTCCCCAAATTTCACACCTTGCGACTTTTCCTCTTTCAAAAAAAAAAAAAAATCAAATCACACTTGAAAGGAACAAGATTTCAGGATATCAAGGAAATGCAAGAGAATGCAACATGGCAGCTGCTCATTATCTCAGAGAGCAGTTCCAGGAACACTTCCATTAATGGAAATGATGCGAGATAAAGTGCACTGCTTCAGAAGTGGACTACTTCAAAGGAGATTAAATGCCAAATTGATATGTGTTGTAGTTTTCTTTTTCATAGCACCAGTCTTGATGCATTTTAATCAGACCTCATAGTATATAAAATAGCAGAACTGTATTGAATCATTCACCAAATTAACACGCTTTCATAGACTAGAAATATTATCAACAGTAAATAAAGAATTTCATCCTAACCAATTCCATTTTAGTCAACTTGGAAAACGTCAGTATATCAATGCCAGTCAAGAAAAAAAAAAAAAAAAAAAAAAAATCACTTTTGGCTGATTATATCTGACAAGTATATAAAAATAAAACCTAAAAAAAAAATAAAGAGTAAATAAAAAAAATAAAAATAAAGACAGTCCATAAAATCCAATAATTTGAACCAGTACAATATTTTCAATAGATCTTAGAGAAAGCACTTTTCTTCTATGTGCTGTGTCTCTTCAGGACATGGGCAAACATGGCTTTCTTCATTATTTCCTTTGTAACTCTTAGTAAGTTTTGGCTTTTTGCTATCCTAATCCCTGTTCTGCCAACATTTACAGGAAGCTTGTTAGGTAGATCACTTACTCTGTCCATCTTACCTACATTATGTCCTGTAAGTATCACATTTTCCAAGCCCTCTTCCCTCATGATGTGCCTTACAAAAAAGATTAATCTTTAGACTAGTATCAATGAAGACACTTGGCCTTCTAGTTCTTCCCTGTCTCTTCCTCTTATCACCACGGTAATATGCAAATCCATTTCTCTATGATCAAGTTTACATACTCAACACACACAACATTTGTTCCTCAACGCAGTCATCATGTACATCTTCAAATCTTTAAATTTGGCCTTCCCTCTCCAAAAATATTTTGGGTCTTTTTAAATATGACAAGTTGATCATTTGAGAACAGCAGATGTGGTTCTCAAATGAAGACCAGTATCTTTTCCTGCTACAAATGTCTTTGACTAGTAAATTTACATGCCACTGGATCAAAAGAGGCTTTGGAGAAACCATCTTTACCTTAGCCAACAATTTGAGGTCAGTTCCAGTTTCACCAGTCAACAGTACAACTCTCTTTCCCATCATAAAGCTGAATTTGTTGTACCAATCTGTATAGGTCTGTGAAAGAAGGAAAAAGGAAACAGTAAAGGCTGGATTATAGTGTCTGGTAAAACTAAAAACAAGGAAATGTGTCATACTTTAAAAAAAAAAAAAAAAAAAAAAAAATAAAAATAAAAAATAAATTACAAAAACCAAAAAACCAGAGCTTTTTTCAGATTTAGATTTATAAAAAAATTAAAAAATAAAAACGCTTCCATTGCTTATCAGATTTGCATTTATTTAGGAACTTACTATTTTTAAAGTTCATTTATTTGTAGTTTTCTTAAGTCAAAAAAAAAATTCCTTTATATGAAACTAAAAGTATTTATTGAATACAGCAAACCTCGCTGCATTTACTGAATACGGCAAACATCGCTGCATTTCAAGAGCACAAAGCAAAAATCAATCTTATTATCCATGGCTTACAAATGTCCAACATGCTGACCACAAAAATAGTAGTGTGCCTTGGAATAAATTAGTTAATAATGTTACTGGAAATATTAGAAATGAAACAAAATGGGGTACCAACAATGGCATACTAACAGTATATGTGGTTTATTTTGAGATACAACTAGAACCATTATAGTTCATACCAGTTGAAGAATAAAGAGTTGAAATTTCCAGTTTTCAAATGACAAGACATTAGGAAATAAATAAAATCAGATTTGGTTTGATTGTTTAATGGCATATCATCTCCTTATGGGTCATTTACTGGATGAGCTTTGGTAATTTTTTTTTTTTCCATAATGTATTACTGGTAATTTTTTTTATTTAATATCAGAATGTTTTGCTGGTAATTTTTTCTAATGTATTTTTATGTTTTCATGTTTTGAACCCCTCCCAAGTTTGGTGGTTCACTATTTACCCATAGCTGGAATCCTCCCCCCAAAACAGGTGCTTCCACCCTTGGTCATTGTGGACCAAGGAACAACAGAAATTAAGAGGTGGTTCCACACTTCTCAAAACCTCCCCATCAGAGGCTTTGCTGACATACCCAAGACAAGTAAAATTAAGGCAATAGCAATAAATAGAAATCAGATAAAAGATTAAAACATAACTTTTATCTTGACTGGGACAATTAATCCGCCATCAGAGTAGTTGTTAATTTAGTAGCCAAAGGTCAGAGTTCAGTTTACATATAAAACATAGAAAGAATTTGGGCAGCGAGTTAGGAGGTGGCTATGAAATTTCACATCATCAACTCTTTAAGTAATGAATCCACAGGAACTATGTAGCTTCTGACATAAAATCGTTTATATTAATCATGCCGAGCCTTACAACCAAATACTTTTTCTGTTTGCCATGACTTGTTTTCTTGAAAAACAACATCAATTAATAGATCCTTGTTTTTGTTTTTTTTCACAACACCCATTAAAAAATTACAATCTTACTGAAGCATCATAAAATGGTTGAGGGCCAAATTATAATGAAACATAAATACTAGATTAACATTTAGCACGGTGCATTGTTAATTAATATTACTTCACTTTCTATTGAATTCTTTTTCAAGGCCTCTTAATTGCAGTAAACTTATTGTTAAGGTCACTAAAAGGTGTTTTCTGTTGCTATAGCAGGATATGACAATGCATCTATGAAATTCACACAAATTCAAATTCAAGGATCAGTGTCACCTTCAGTGGCAGGATAAACTAATTAAGTCAAATACAAAATGATCAAGGTCAATATTGTCCCCAAAGCTGTACAAAATGTATTTTTTTATATAAAATCAAGTTTTATAAACTTCAAATGCTAATAGTTCCTTTAGCAAGATCCTAAATTCATTAGCTTTTTATTTTAAATGAAGTTTCACAAAAATTAACATGTCAAGTAAAGATATGTATTAAATCTGGGCAAATTTCTAATCTGAAATCCTATCAACAGTAAAATCATAGTAAAATTATTTTTATCACTTGTAAATATTACAATAATTCTCCATCAAAATAATAAGAAAGTAAACAGTAGTAACCTGTTGGGCAAGAGTCTCCAAGCATGTCACATAGACACATCTGCTGTCAGGGTTTTGGGATAACATTCGCAATACCGCAAATTCTCCACATATCGTCTTGCCACTTCCAGATGGAGCACCAACAAATACATTATCATCACTGTTGTAAATGGCATTGAATACTGGATAGAAAAAAAGGGGAGAATGTTAGAAATATTAGATTTGGGATATTAATTAAAGTTTAAGCAATTAAACTGATTCATTAATCAACAGTACAAAAGGTAATCTTAACCCTGTGTTAGTCAACTCAGATTTGCGAAAATGGATAGTCCCGTGGTACCTGTCTTCCACGATAACTGCACCACACCCCCACTGAGCTGAATCTGGAGAGTAGTGGCAGGGAGCAAAAGAAACAAGTTGCCAACTAGGAATTACAAATACTTGAAAAATTTGGGGGTAACAGAACACCCCATGTGACTAATGTACAGTTAAAGATGATTTTTAACTGACATGATTTAAAGTGAACATTCCTATGATCAAGTGTTAAGAACAAAATGATTTTCAAAAGCAAATTCAAGTTAAACTGAAAATGAATTCAATTAGAGGTTAAATGCTTGTGTCAAACCAAAAGTGGAAACAAAAATTCCATAACCAAAACACATGTAAACAAATCCAAAATAGATGCTTGATATAAGTTAGCAAATTAGTCATACAAACTGTTGCTAACAAGCAAGTTCAGGAAAACTATTGATAGTGAGGGAGTTCAGTCAAATAATTGATAATGAAGGAGTTCAATCTTTATTGTCAGTTAAGTGGGTTAGTTAATTTAACAACATATCAACTTTTGTTGGCTTCTTTAATGTTACATATAAAAGTTTTATAGGACAAAAATCACAATGAACTAATAGTTCCAAGGTTCACCATTCTATATTAAGAACACCTCTCATGATTTTATTATTTATATGGAGACTATTGTCCTCATCTTTGTTGTTGTTATCACAACATTTCAGATGTTGTGCTCTCCAGCATTCAAAATTGATAAGAACAGCAAAAATGAGGACAACAGTTTGCATGTAAATAATGATAACTCCTCATCTTAGAAATTCAGTTAGAAAACCTCCATAATTTTTTTAATGTTTTATGTTTCTTATTATTTTTTTTTTTTTCAGTTTAGAAAGTAGAATTTAAATAAGTCACCTTCATAAAATTCATTAGATTCAATAGATGAAAAAAAGGACATCTTAAAACTTTTCTTTGCTAACATGAAGAAAATAACTGATGCTATAAAAATACTGTCACCATAAATATTCCTTTAATATAAAACCCAGAGAGAAAGAGATTCATCTTCATTGGTCTTCCTATTCTTGTAGTTTTGTAGCAGCCAAAGCTAAGCTTAGAAAATATCCATATTACAAGAGAACATTGCTAATATGGAAACAAGGAAAATTTTAATCTCAGAACTAAAAATAGAACACAGATCATCAATTGAAATTCATAAACTGTCTGCAATCTTATTCTGCACTCATGACAAAACTCTAAAACGGTTAGTTTAATCAATCCAATTGTTAAATAGTTGTTAACTTTACTTTTATTAAATTTCAATATATTTTTAACCTCATTTTATCTTAATAAATATTTTTCATTTTTAGCAGCTTCAGCATTCAATGAAAATTAATTAATAGCAACAATGTGTTAATTTCTAACTAAATGTTTCCTTCAGTATCTGTCAATATTTCTGAGATGAGGTATTATGTACACTATTTACATTATTCAGACTATTGTCCTCATCTTCGTTGCCACATTTATTACAACAAAATCAACGAATAAGGTAATGTAAATAGTGTAAATGTTTTCTAATTGACGTCATGTGACAAAGTTAGCTAAATCGCAAAATATCCAATCAGAATCAACAAAATCAATTCAAGATAACAAGGTCAATTACAAGACGCTCACTGTATTTTGGCATGAGTTCATTCCCCCTGAGAAAGTTTGGGAGAATCAACCGATTCTGCAAAGCTTATTAGAATCTCCAAAATTCAGGCAAACATAAACAAAATAATTACAAAATAAATCACTAAAACTCCAAATTTATTCTATTCAGAATTTGTGGATTTTAAGAGAAACTGACATTAGGCATTTTGTGACTCTTCCTAAAACATATCTCAGGTTGAATATAGCAGTTTGCCAAATTTCATAAAAATATTAATAAGATATTTGATAAACTTGTCTCTTGATTGATTTTTAATAAAAACATTTTCTACTGTTCTGTGATATTGAAAAAACAACATTTGAAATTATAGACAGAATTAACAGAGTCATAGTTTCTTTTTTTAATTAACAATCAATTTTCATACATCTTTTTTTTCTTTTTTTTTTTTTTACAAATGTTTCCTAAAGTAAAAAGAAAATGTATGATAATCAAACCTTGTGTCTGAATTGGGTTAAAGTATGGAAATTTTTCATTGTATAAAGCCTCAAAAGAGGAATTTCTCAAGGCAGAGACAGGAAGAGGTTGCAAGTCCAGCAACTCCGTAGCAGGTGGATATCTTTCTGGTAGAATTAGATGGCGGAAAGACACGGGCAACTGAGTTTCAGCACCTGAAATTCAAATTGTGAATTAATCCAACTAATTAAAGTAAAGTGAAAATAAATTTGAACACATTCATTTTAATTCAAAGACAACAAATATAAATTCTTTATAGACACAGTGCTTCCAACAAAATCTTCAGATTATGACCCCGGGGATCAGGTATGGTTTTAATATGTCAAGAGATGATCTCTATTTTTTCAAGTATCAGTTAGCTGCACAGAGCATCTGAACTCTTATAACAAATGAAAGGACAAAGGACATTGGCAATGTAACTGTGACACAGTAAATATAGTTGAAAATTATATGATAGTTAATTGGGATTTGATTGATTGCTGTGATTAATGTTTTTTTTTTTTTACAGCTTCTCAACCTTTTTGTGGGTTATTTAAAGCAAAAAAACATATTTTGCATGGTAAGTTTTTTTTATTTCTGTTTATTTTTTTGCAAATGAATATTGTGTTAAGAATTATTTTGGGACTAACATGGTTCTATTATTTAACCCATAGCTCGGGGGGAATTGTTTTTTATATCTTATCAATAATTTTTTGAGAATAACAATACATTTTCCAGATACAAGTCCTACTATTTAACCCATTGCTATTGAGAAGCGATGGATTAATACCAGTCACAAAAGGATTTGTGTGTAAGTGAACATAATGAAGCGAAATGAAATTTGTACTCGGCACTCCAATTTCTCATTCCAAGCTGCTATCCATTACAATTTGGAATCTTTATTAGGAATTTTCTTATTTAAAAAAAAAAAAAAAAATAAAGGAGGAGGGATTTAAACTAATCTTTAGTCGGAAGAAAACAGGAAATTATTAAAAATGTTCTTTAAAAATAAAAATGAAAGCAAATAGGAAAGTTGGTTCAAAATATATCATGCATTCTTAATCAAATCATTCTGCATTGGAAAATGAAATGAGAAGTCAGAAGCTGAATAGTTGAGTCAAGGCAAGATAGGTTGGACATACAGTTAACTTCCATCCATTTTCCATCAGACCTATTCAACATGATTGACAGCAGGTTTTGTTTTTCTCCTTTGCTTTCTATTTTATCTTTTCTGCATGCTGAACAAACAATTGCCAGCTTTCTACAATTCTCTGAACCAAGTATTATTTCTCAAATTTTTAAAAGATATTAAAACACTTACCAATCCATCGATCAGAAATTACTTTGATGAAGTACTGCGGGGGAAGAGGTTCAAAAACAGGCACAAAGAATTTGACAACATGTTCATCTTGGCTGAATTTGCTGCAGGACAATAACATAAATGGTTAATTCTAAACTGTATTCTGAGTTTATTTTTAAAAACAAGAAACAAATGTACATTTCTAATTTCACAAATCATTTCCATGAAGGTCTCATAACTCTTCTTCACAACTAAAAAAAAAAAAAAAAAAAATGGAAGACATCTTTTTGATGTTTTCAGTTTTTTTAATATTTTATAAAAGTAATTACTTTTAGTTTTTATTAAAATAATACAGGCTACTATGATTGAATGAAAAGATACTAAAGGAAAAATTGAAGATGAATGCAAAATTGAAAAAAATAAACAATAGTTGAAATAGGTGAACTAATTAAAAAAGGAAAAAAGAACAGATGTTAATTATCACCTTTTCAATAAGAAATACTCATGATGCAGGACTACTTCACTGTCAACATCTTCAATTAAGATCCAGAAAGCCTGAAATAAAAAATTAAAATAAGAACAATCTTATTAAATATTTGGGTGTATGTGTGTGTGTGTGTGTGCTGGAAAGTTCTTTGCCTGACCTATTTTGACAAATTCTGAGCAAATGACCAAACACTGGAAGGTTTTTGTTTCTGTTTTTGGGGGGGTCCTCAGGGAGGGTGGTCCTTTCTGGACCAGCCCAAGAACTTTTCCTCACTTACACATGAGGAATTTATAGATCGCAATCAGAGGGCCACCACATGTACTGAAACCATACCAGTAGTTGGTGTGTCTAGCTAAAGACTACACAATGTAGCCTGTCACTCTTCTGGAAGGTTTTTGAATTCAAAGTTTTCCTAATCCTGGATTGGTTGGTATACCAAAGCTCAAGTGCCCAGTTTGCTCTACTATGCATGGTCAATTGAATTCTGAGTTTTCCTTCTCCTATATAGGTTAGTTGATTTTTAATGCCGAGCTTGCTCAACCTGATGATGACGATGATGGTATAGGTTAGTAGGCAAGGCAAGAGAGCTCAATCTGCCATGCTAAATAGCATATAGCTAGAGGAAAATGGAGTTATGCCTTTTCCAAGAGCATTAGTGGGAAGTGAACAAAATAAACTCAGAATCAGAAATCATCACACTGATTACATTTTCTGCACCAATAACCATTAAATCACTCGCACATCCTTATGGGTGGTGTAAGGGGTAAGCTTAGTATTTATCAATCCACCCACGAGGATAGAATGTGGCACAAGGCCGGTTTAATGTGGGTATCCCCGAGCCTGTAGGCTCGGCCAAAAATATAGCCTTTTTGAACCCGCCTAGACGGATTCAGGCCCTGTCTACCTCCCCGAACGAAACCTTGCCCTTCGGCAAAGCTTCATCCGGGTTCCTCTCTGCTAATGCAGAGAGTTCGACAGACGCCGACTCGGAAGCTCACAAAGGCAGCGTACTACACTTTGATCATTTCCCCCGGGCCGAGCAAGGGGTAAGCTTGCTTACAAAAGCTATGGCTTAAAGTACAAGTTACTTGTTGGAATAAGGAGTCACCAACAGCAACATCATCATGAAGGATATAAACAATAAAGTCATGGAAGTTGACTTTTCATTATAAATTCATTGTTCTTTGAAAGAATTGAACGCTATGGCAACTGGTATAGCATTTATATACATCATATATATCAAGAGTTAAAAAATTCTTTCTTCCTTTCTGAGAACATACACTGCAGCATTGTAATGTATTTCTGTAGCAAACAACTTGCTACTTTCCTTACACATTAAGGCCCTCAGTTTCAATTATGTTCAGTTTTTGACTTCCTTGTTACATTTCTTCTTCACCTATTTATATCTATAAAACAGAAGATGTCTGTGTGTGTATATGCTATTTATGCATGTTCACATTTCTTGACCGATTTCAATGAAACTGTACACACATGTAGCAAATTTACCAACATAGGTTAAGTCCAACTTTTCAATCTCCAAGCCCCCGGGTTTGGCAGAAAAATCAATAAAACTGAAGGTGAGTACAACTTTTTGCAAGAACCAATGCAAAGTTACATGCAAACAAAGTTGTTACTGGATGAGCTGATATTCTTTGCACTTAATGCAAAACATAGCTCGTGTTATGAGGTTTACGTAGAGTGATACTTTTCCTGCGATATTGGCTTCACACAAAATTATTGCAAAAACTGAAAGAAAAAAATCAGGTTTTTCATACTACTTAAAATAAAAACTTGAATAACTTCATTTTTTATCCACTTTTCTTCAAAACATGTCGCAAAAAATTTGCTATCATACAAGAAATAATATAGTGTGATTTTAGTCCTGCTTGCTTCCCTGTGTAACAAAAAAACACAAAATTCCTAAATTGGCATTTGAACAACCTTTGATGCAAAGATTATTTGAGAAGGATTATTGGAGTGTTAAAAGGGAAAAATTCCCGAAGAACCTATTATTAACCACCAGCTTTACAGTAAACATGCGAAAAAGGGGGAGGGGGGGCATTTGCACTTGCAGTTAAATCAATCTCTGATGCTTCATCCCTGTTTTTGTTTGATTATTAGATTTGTGAACAATGCCATACTATTTGAAAGTTATTACAGCCATAGGAAATTTACTGAATATCTAAAACATTGAAACAATTTAACCCCAAGCAATGATCACATGACAAGGTTTTTTCAATGGAATTCCTTTGTAAAGAACAATCAAACATTTGCAAAGGTGGGGGGAGCAGCTTAGTATACAAATGGATGATCCATGCAAGCAGGGACGCAGGCAGACATTTCTAGACAGGAGGGTGCAGTTATACAATTGCATCAGTGTACACTCAGCAATGCTGGGTACCTCGGTACCCAGTATTATATTTGTATTTTTTTTTCCTTTCTAGTTTTACCCTTTAATAAAACTGCTGATGAACAGGACTTTATCTTCAGAGTTTTAATTGCATTAATTCATTTATTTGGCTGTCTTGAGGTATGGACATGTACACAGGAGGCAGAACAAAGAGTATCAATAAATGTGTTGAAGTTTTTAAAAATGAAGCCATTAATTAACAACGTGAGTTCAGCAAATCAAAATTAAACACAGCTCACAAATAAACAGATCAAAGCTGAATGTCACTGAAAGTAAAGAAAAAAAAGTGTGTTTGCCAATAATCAATATTCAATTAAGTAGATGAAATCTGTAATGGATTTTGTGAAGACTTTGAAATTAATTGCCATCAACCTCAGAAGACAATATTTTTACTTTTCACAAATGATTACAACAAGTAGAAGGATACATTTTCACCTAGTCTCTCTTTCTCTCAAGAAAGGACATGTAAAATTGACCCAAGTGATCTCTCATTTGTTTCATCCTGACACATCTCAAGAGCAATAAACAAAACTAAATATCTCACCTCTGAATGACCGTGCACTTTCTCCTCCCATTGGAAATCCGGTGTGATGGTGAGTTCCACTCTGAGAGTAGATCGAGTAATGGGCTGGATATGCACAGACAACTCTAATTTAGGGAACTGGTGAACATATTTATGGATTGTTTTGCCCATCTTTGGCATACGGATAAATTCTCCAATCTCATTGTGGTTCAAGTCATACATACGATCAAATGGGAAATTTTTCTTCTCTATTTTTTTGATCACCTCTTCAGGAATTTTTCTGAACTGCCTCAGTGGACTCATAGACTGCCACCTGAAAATACATTATATATACTTTTGTCATTTAACATTAAAAAAAAAAATTTTTAAAGAAATGAACAAATTTTTGTCTTTCAAAACAAATCAATCACTGAAAGTTGAAAGAATAAAACATTATTAACATTATTTATATTCGGACTATTATCCTCATCTTTTTTTGTTTTTATCACAATGTTTTGGTCATTGTACCCCTCAGCCTTGTGGGCACAATCGTTGGTTTTTGAATTTTTTGTGAGTTCAATCCCTAGGTCAGGTAGTGTGTACTTGTACTCAGTGGGAACAGATGAGCAATAACTGAACAGTACTAAATAACATAAGAACTAGACAATATATCCCTAGACATGAGCAATGAAATAAGAACAGTCTATCCCCATAGATTAAAGAAAGGATTCAGTTCAGAAATCCCTATAGATTACCCAGATTGATATACACCTGAGCAAGATAAGAACAATAGCCCAAATATGAATAGTGTAAATAATAACTCAGCCTAGAAATTCAGACAAAAATAAACCAGATTTTCTAAGTCAAAAAAAAAAAAAAAAAAAAAAAATTAATTAATTAAAAAAGAAAGTTTAAAAGTTTGTACAGTTTTACAAGGCAAACAAAAATTTTAAACTAAATATATTTAGATGAAATAAATACAACAATTTATTATATTTGTTTTCAAATCAAAATATTTTAAAGAGGATTACAGATTTTTTTTTAAAGTGGTTGATAATGTATTATACAAGGAATAGGAAAGAAAAATTGTATTTCTTTAATGTCAATTCTGAATTGGTTAAGAAAGAACTGACAGTAAAAGGAGCTTTCTGCATTCAAAAAGGTACTGAGACAAAATAACAGAGCTAAAGACAGGATTATTTTGAACATAATACAATGCTCAAGATCCACTCAAGGTACAGGGTTACTGAATGAGGTAGGCAATAGGATCTAGTAGGCAGTGATGATTATGAGAATAAGGATGAAGGCTAATGACTGACCCTTGACATAAAGAGGTTAAGATTGTAGTGTTCAAGGAAGCAGACATGTCTGTTCAACAAAGAAGCAGTTTTTTTTTGAGGGGAAAAAAAGCTGTCTGAATGTAACCTACTTACTATTGGAATACAGAGGAAAAGAGGGTGATTCAACTCCATGAATGTAGCCTAAGATAAATGAGATTAACATGTCTTTGTAAACAAAAAAAACATTAAATCTTAAAACCATATATGAACTTCTATTATCTTCATCTATCAATACTTACTCAGTTATGGATTAAAATAGCAGGGTTTACTAGGATCTCTAGCCTTGGCTAACACTCAGTCTAAGAGAAAGACAACTCTCAATTCCAATTTGTGAAAAAAGCAATAAGAAACCACCGTTTTTTTTCTAAAATATCATGAGAATCCACAAATATTAAAGTAATCAGTGGAGAGACACAATCACATATGCCCTGAAGAGAAATGGTATTTAAAAAATATAAAAAGAAAATGAAACTGTGGAGAACCATGATCACCTTTAACCTGAAGGGAAATGGCATTGAAAAAATAAATATACAGTTACCATATATACTCACATATCATACAACTTTTGAAGACCTTAGTTTGAAGCTAATTTTAAGGGGGTCACATCATACACAAGATATAAAGTTAATGTATATACTGCTGGCCCTGGCTATGCCATTGACCAAACTATCTATCCATATACTGTAGTCAAATTAGCTTCAAAATTAGATCTTCAAAGGTCGCATAATACACAAATATATATGGTAATACTTACCTAATAATTAATAAGCTATTTTTTCTTTCTTTACGTTTTTATGTTATAAAGATAATTTTAAAAAGGAAGAACATAATGAGAAAATTTTATGCCCTCATTTAAGACTGGTTATATGCTAATAAGTATGGAAATACAATATATAAATTATGGATAAATGCTAATAAGTATAAAGAACTTACATCCTTTTGTCAACCATCTTACAAAGTGTGAGAGCTTTGTCAGCCAACTGGGCCCATCCATGATGTAATACAATTTCAAAAATAGCTCTCATCAAACGACCTGCTGACTGTGTAATGAACACCATGTCAGCCATCAAGGCAAACCCCTCCAGCTTCAGCTGGGAAATGTAGGCCTGAAGTAAAACATTCACCTGAAAAAGAAAAAAAAATATTATAATTCTGCTTGTTCTTTAGTTAGTTAGCATTTACATTACACCATGTAATGGCTTGCCTTTACCCTACCCACAAATTCTTGGTGAGGAGTTTCTAGACAGAAGAGAGAGGAAGCAACAAGGCCTTCATGCATTTGTTGAAATGGTATAGTAATATGAAATATGCCAGACCAAAATGATTAATTACAGTAATAAAAATGAGCAATAGCCGTTAAATTTCCGTAAGTCCTTTTCTGCATGATGAAAGGAGATAGACGTCATAAAACCTATTTGAAAAAATGCTATGGTATATTAAAAACACTGTTTTTGCACTTTTTTTGCTATCTATTTTATTCAAATGACGTCATGCAAATAGCTGGATAAAATTGAATAAATTAATAAATTAATAAATTAATAAATTAATAAATTTCCGTAAGTCCTTTTTCTGCATGATGAAAGGAGATAGACGTCATAAAAACCTATTTGAAAAATGCTATGATATTAAAACACTGTTTTTGCACTTTTGCTATCTATTTTATTCAAATGACGTCATGCAAATATTTGAAAAATGCTGGATAAAATTGAATAAATTAATAAATTAATAAATTAATAAATTAATAAATTTCCGTAAGTCCTTTTCTGCATGATGAAAGGAGATAGACGTCATAAAAACCTATTTGAAAAAATGCTATGGTATTAAAACACTGTTTTTGAATCTATTTTATTCAAATGACGTCATGCAAATAGCTGGATAAAATTGAATAAATTAATAAATTAATAAATTAATAAATTAATAAATTTCCGTAAGTCCTTTTCTGCATGATGAAAGGAGATAGACGTCATAAAAACCTATTTGAAAAAATGCTATGGTATTAAAAACACTGTTTTGCACTTTTTTGCTATCTATTTTATTCAAATGACGTCATGCAAATAGCTGGATAAAATTGAATAAATTAATAAATTAATAAATTAATAAATTAATAAATTTCCGTAAGTCCTTTTCTGCATGATGAAAGGAGATTCATAAAACCTATTTGAAAAAAGCTATGATATTAAAACACTGTTTTTTGCACTTTTTGCTATCTATTTTATTCAAATGACGTCATGCAAATAGCTGGATAAAATTGAATAAATTAATAAAATAAATTAATAAATTAATAAATTAATAAATTTCCGTAAGTCCTTTTCTGCATGATGAAAGGAGATAGACGTCATAAAACCTATTTGAAAAATGCTATGATATTAAAACACTGTTTTTGCAATTTTGCTATCTATTTTATTCAAATGACGTCATGCAAATAGCTGGATAAAATTGAATAAATTAATAAATTAATAAATTAATAAATTAATATTTCCGTAAGTCCTTTTCTGCATGATGAAAGGAGATAGACGTCATAAAAACCTATTTGAAAAATGCTATGGTATTAAAAACACTGTTTTTGCACTTTTGCTATCTATTTTATTCAAATGACGTCATGCAAATAGCTGGATAAATAAATTAATAAATTAATAAATTAATAAATTAATAAATTAATAAATTAATAAATTTCCGTAAGTCCTTTTCTGCATGATGAAAGGAGATAGACGTCATAAAACCTATTTGAAAAATGCTATGGTATTAAAAACACTGTTTTTGCACTTTTTGCTATCTATTTTATTCAAATGCGTCATCAAATAGCTTTTGAATAAATCAAAAATTAATAAATTAATAAATTAATAAATTAATAAATTTCCGTAAGTCCTTTTCTGCATGATGAAAGGAGATCGTCATAAAAACCTATTTGAAAAAATGCTATGGTATTAAAAACACTGTTTTGCACTTTTTGCTATCTATTTTATTCAAATGACGTCATGAAATAAATAAAATTGAATAAATTAATAAATTAATAAATTAATAAATTAATAAATTAATAAATTTCCGTAAGTCCTTTTCTGCATGATGAAAGGAGATAGACGTCATAAAAACCTATTTGAAAAATGCTATGATATTAAAACACTGTTTTTGCACTTTTGCTATCTATTTTATTCAAATGACGTCATGCAAATAGCTGGATAAAATTGAATAAATTAATAAATTAATAAATTAATAAATTAATAAATTTCCGTAAGTCCTTTTCTGCATGATGAAAGGAGATAGACGTCATAAAAACCTATTTGAAAATGCTATGGTATTAAAACACTGTTTTTGCACTTTTTGCTATCTATTTTATTCAAATGACGTCATGCAAATAGCTGGATAAAATTGAATAAATTAATAAATTAATAAATTAATAAATTAATAAATTAATAAATTAATAAATTTCCGTAAGTCCTTTTCTGCATGATGAAAGGAGATAGACGTCATAAAAACCTATTTGAAAAATGCTATGGTATTAAAAACACTGTTTTTGCACTTTTGCTATCTATTTTATTCAAATGACGTCATGCAAATAGCTGGATAAAATTGAATAAATTAATAAATTAATAAATTAATAAATTAATAAATTAATAAATTAATAAATTTCCGTAAGTCCTTTTCTGCATGATGAAAGGAGATAGACGTCATAAAAACCTATTTGAAAAATGCTATGATATTAAAAACACTGTTTTTGCACTTTTTTGCTATCTATTTTATTCAAATGACGTCATGCAAATAGCTGGATAAAATTGAATAAATTAATTAATAAATTAATAAATTAATAAATTAATAAATTAATAAATTTCCGTAAGTCCTTTTCTGCATGATGAAAGGAGATAGACGTCATAAAAACCTATTTGAAAAATGCTATGATATTAAAACACTGTTTTTGCACTTTTGCTATCTATTTTATTCAAATGACGTCATGCAAATAGCTGGATAAAATTGAATAAATTAATAAATTAATAAATTAATAAATTAATAAATTAATAAATTAATAAATTTCCGTAAGTCCTTTTCTGCATGATGAAAGGAGATAGACGTCATAAAAACCTATTTGAAAAATGCTATGGTATTAAAAACACTGTTTTTGCACTTTTTGCTATCTATTTTATTCAAATGACGTCATGCAAATAGCTGGATAAAATTGAATAAATTAATAAATTAATAAATTAATAAATTAATAAATTAATAAATTTCCGTAAGTCCTTTTCTGCATGATGAAAGGAGATAGACGTCATAAAAACCTATTTGAAAAATGCTATGGTATTAAAAACACTGTTTTTGCACTTTTGCTATCTATTTTATTCAAATGACGTCATGCAAATAGCTGGATAAAATTGAATAAATTAATAAATTAATAAATTAATAAATTAATAAATTAATAAATTAATAAATTTCCGTAAGTCCTTTTCTGCATGATGAAAGGAGATAGACGTCATAAAAACCTATTTGAAAAATGCTATGGTATTAAAAAACACTGTTTTTGCACTTTTTGCTATCTATTTTATTCAAATGACGTCATGCAAATAGCTGGATAAAATTGAATAAATTAAAAATTAATAAATTAATAAATTAATAAATTAATAAATTAATAAATTTCCGTAAGTCCTTTTCTGCATGATGAAAGGAGATAGACGTCATAAAAACCTATTTGAAAAAATGCTATGGTATTAAAAACACTGTTTTTGCACTTTTGCTATCTATTTTATTCAAATGACGTCATGCAAATAGCTGGATAAAATTGAATAAATTAATAAATTAATAAATTAATAAATTAATAAATTAATAAATTAATAAATTTCCGTAAGTCCTTTTCTGCATGATGAAAGGAGATAGGCGTCATAAAACCTATTTGAAAAATGCTATGGTATTAAAAACACTGTTTTTGCACTTTTGCTATCTATTTTATTCAAATGACGTCATGCAAATAGCTGGATAAAATTGAATAAATTAATAAATTAATAAATTAATAAATTAATAAATTTAATTAAATTAATAAATTAATAAATTAATAAATTTCCGTATTAATAAATTAATAAATTAATAAATTAATAAATTTCCGTAAGTCCTTTTCTGCATGATGAAAGGAGATAATAAATTAATCATAAAACCTATTTGAAAAATGCTATGGTATTAAAAAAAACACTGTTTTTGCACTTTTGCTATCTATTTTATTCAAATGACGTCATGCAAATAGCTGGATAAAATTGAATAAATTAATAAATTAATAAATTAATAAATTAATAAATTAATAAATTAATAAATTTCCGTAAGTCCTTTTCTGCATGATGAAAGGAGATAGACGTCATAAAAACCTATTTGAAAAATGCTATGGTATTAAAAACACTGTTTTTGCACTTTTTGCTATCTATTTTATTCAAATGACGTCATGCAAATAGCTGGATAAAATTGAATAAATTAATAAATTAATAAATTAATAAATTAATAAATTAATAAATTAATAAATTTCCGTAAGTCCTTTTCTGCATGATGAAAGGAGATAGACGTCATAAAAACCTATTTGAAAAATGCTATGGTATTAAAAACACTGTTTTTGCACTTTTGCTATCTATTTTATTCAAATGACGTCATGCAAATAGCTGGATAAAATTGAATAAATTAATAAATTAATAAATTAATAAATTAATAAATTAATAAATTAATAAATTTCCGTAAGTCCTTTTCTGCATGATGAAAGGAGATAGACGTCATAAAAACCTATTTGAAAAATGCTATGGTATTAAAAACACTGTTTTTGCACTTTTGCTATCTATTTTATTCAAATGACGTCATGCAAATAGCTGGATAAAATTGAATAAATTAATAAATTAATAAATTAATAAATTAATAAATTAATAAATTAATAAATTTCCGTAAGTCCTTTTCTGCATGATGAAAGGAGATAGACGTCATAAAAACCTATTTGAAAAATGCTATGGTATTAAAACACTGTTTTTGCACTTTTGCTATCTATTTTATTCAAATGACGTCATGCAAATAGCTGGATAAAATTGAATAAATTAATAAATTAATAAATTAATAAATTAATAAATTAATAAATTAATAAATTTCCGTTTGAAAAATGTCCTTTTCTGCATGA